GTCTACTGATGGTGGTCAGAAGCGGGGCTGCCGTACACTGATGCCACCGGGCCCTCTGACCACCATCAGTAGACAATGCAGGTGAAGTGTCTTGCCCAAGGACACAACGACACTGAAAGTCGGAGTCGGGGCTTGAACCATCAACCCTTCGATTTCAGGGAAAACTCCTACATCCAACGCCACTGTTGCCCCAAAAAATAAAAGCAATATGATGAATATAACAAGAAGCCAACAGATTGATCCTGCTGTATGTGAAATGATGGAGAGGATATTTTATTTAGCATCGCTGGCTGATGGCGTCAGATTAAAGCACCTTTGAGAGATTAGCTGTCAGATGTGAAGCCAGGATGAACCAGAGGTGGAGCAAATAAAGTAGCTGCTGATCCAGTTAAAACACCGTTAGGAAGGGACTAGAACCGGGAGACATAACTAACCCTGACTAGATGATCTCAGTGCCGCATAAGGAGGGTATGACATGCATGAAGGTGTGTAACCAGAACCTTTAACTGTTATTTGGGAGCAGAGGCAATGGAGGGAAACCAGTAGAGACAGGAATCCTTAAAGGAATTATCCTAAAGCTTAGCATTAAAAACCTTTTCACTTTTTACCCACCGAGCAAAAATTGGTTGAAAAGACGACATGATTTATCTCCAAACTTTGTCTACATTTGGTTGGAAAGTGAAAAGCTATAATATTCAGTTCATTGAAAAGACTTTTAAATCTGGGTTTTCAGTGCTTTTTATGAAACTAAAGCAGGAAAAAATCAGACTGACCAAACACAGCCCAATTTTTCAAAAACTGTTTCTGGACTATGACAGACCGCCCAGTTTTAGCCTAAAAACCAAGGTCAGAATAACGTCTGGTGTTTGGAGGTTTGCTTCATGTCATTGTCCATCTGAAAGAACATCTGTACCTGAGCTTTAGCAGCCAGAGGTCGGCCATCGATGATCCCATCCCTGCAGTGATTAGTTGTTTCCATGTGGACATAATTCACCCCCTCTGGAGCAAACACTGATAGACAGATATAACCTTAACCCTTTATGGGCACTCAGTGAAATACTTAGAAAATTAACATTTTAAGCCAAGAATGTTATTGGAGGACAGAAGCTTATTACTTTGTAACATTTAATAAATAGGCATAATAAGATGGCAAAAATCAAGGTCAATTAATAACAAGAAACAGCCACTTTCCCTAATATATAAAAAAATAAAATTTCTTCAATAAGAAATTCATAAGAAACACTCAGAGAGAAAGAATCACATTTTTATTTAATTTAAACTTAGATCATTAATAGAGGGACTTACAGTTTTTACTCTTTCAACTGAGCTGATTCACTTTTTAACAGAACTTTTTTACCTTTTTTACTGATTAACTTTTTTCATAACTTGTTGAACTTTTCAACTTAATTTACAGTAGTTCATATATCATTTAATTGGTCAATGCCAAAGGATTTGTACTGCCATGTTTTGGCTGAACAGCTGAATATATAGATCTTCTGCTTCTAGACCTCACAGACAGATGGGGGGGTTACAAAAACGGTTACATGTAACAGTTTAATCAAAAATAATAGAATCTCAGAATATCTATTGTGTGTCATGGATTTGTTCAAGCTTCTGACTCACATGCAGGAAAACTATCAGGAGGAAGCAGAGTCAGATCAACTCTGTTTACTGAGAACAGTCAGTAGTCAACAGAGAATCTGGAAACAGCAAAAAGGAGGAACCTCAAGCTCTGAAACAAAGACACTGGTTAGTTATTTAAGGTCCAGAGAATGGAGAAGGGAAAGGAAAAGGGGCTGAATGGTGAGTGATGGTCATCCAGGGAGGAAGGTGAATGGAGTTGTTACAAAAGATTGAAAGCTTGATGGTAAAATCCAGAAGGTATATCTTTTTAATTTTCATCAGAACTCAGGCTGCAGCATTTTGGACAACAGTTTGTGGACTTCCTGAGAGTATCAGTAGTGATTAACACTCAAGCGCTGAAGATCTGGCTGACCGCTCCTCTTATACTAGAGAAGATGAGGCTGATTACACCAGCCTAATGGCTCCACCTAGAGGAAAAAGCAGACTCCAGCATCCAACAAATGACATAAATGACAGGTCCTGATCAAAAAAAGATTTTTTACTTTATTATCTGAAATCAGTTTAATCCCATCCAAATG